TCTAGTTTCTTCAGATTTCAGAAAAGACAGATGTTTTTACAAAACCAGACAATAATAACGAGATTTTATTTCGATTCGTTAACTCACGTGCTTTCGGATATAAAAGCCACAAATTCTTCTTAGATAATTTATAGAATAAATGAAAATATGAATTAATCATGAAGTCTACAAGAATTACCATTTTAACTGTATCTTGATAACCAAATTTGCCTTGTATTTTCTCTAATCTTAAGCAATTGTTTTTTAGCATTTATACTAAAGACTAGCTGTTCCCGTGCGGTTTCATCCCCATGAAATTATGAAAATTTTATTTTATTGTTTACATTTTATCAATATATTTTTAAAACCTTGGTAATCTTGTTTCCTTGATATTGTCAGCAACTTATCGTCTCTTTCCCACATTAGGGTTTTTATGCAAAATATTTACCCCTAAGTTTAACGTGAAAATATATAGCCTAAAGCGTGACGTAAGTGTAGGGCGTTTTATTAAAAAAAGAATTATTAAAAAATATGTTGTAATTGCTGACATCTTAGGCAACAAAGAAGTGTGTGTTTACGCTTTATTATAATAGTATAGATAGATATAGATATAGTATAGAAGTATAGATAGATAAAGAATTACTGGTTTAATATTTCAAATGTTTTAGATAATTAACATTACAAAGGCTTAGTAGATACCATTTCCGGGTATCTTAAGGGCTTTATTCGGATCTTGTAAATAGGGCGATCCTACTTAATTGGGCTAATTTAAATTAATTTACCTCGTAATAAATTAGTCGTAATTAACTTTTTGTTATTGTACTAAGGAAATATAGAGTAAAGCAGTTAAACACACTTTGAATGGCACTACTGTTTACTTTATAGGTTAAAAATTAAACATGTCAATACATATTGGAGCTTAAAAGGTTATTTTTGATAACATTGAGTTTTTGAAAGACCAGACGTTTTGCTAGTAGATCAATTATAGGTTTCCCAGGTTTCGTTAGTATTCTTGGTTCGATACCTTCATAAAATTCGTTTCCGAACGACTTAACTTTAGTTTTACTCCTTATACATAGTTAAATATGACACTTAGTAATCGCTAGGTAATAATAAAATCAATGGAAACTTCAGAAACGTAGCTTAAGTAGATTAAGTACTTAATTTGAATAACATTTTTGCTAAGTTTTAGATGTTTTTTTTTTTAATTATGACAATAATAACTGAGATAAATTGGAGGATTGAATCTGAATTAAAATTAATCTACGACAAATACAGGCTTTTAAGTCCAGACCATGAAATGTATATGTATCAGTCGCTTCAAATTATATGTCTATATCAAAATTCATGAAGATCCGTACAACCGTTTACGAAATATCTAACTAACATCCATCTAGATATGTAAAAAATCACATTAATAATTAGTATGAAGCAAGATTATCTTATACTTGTTAGTAAATTCTTATATATAACGTAATAAACGTAACTTATTACAACCATGTCTTACATTCTGTGCAATGTGATAACTCTCCCGTACGTTACATAACTCGACCAACTAGAACGGAACCTAAGAATAAACCTAATATTAAGTAACCAACGTAATTCCACTCACAACATATTACACAAGTTTATATGTCACTGACCGATTTTCAAATATGTCAGATCGTTATCTGCCCATACTTTTAACTGATGGTAACATAAGTCATTCAAGTATCTAAAACATACTTGCCTGTACTAATTGTAAATTGTCTGATAACAATTTAACGTGTAAAATATGTGATGGAAATATCGGATTTTGTTACCTTATCTGATAGTGACGTAGTCTTTAAACTATCTGAGCCTCTATCAGCCAGTGGTGGGACAGGTCCTTAATCTATTTATGTTTGGTTATATAGTCTAAAAGCGTAACATATTGTATGATAAACATTACTGTAAGAAAATAATATCTCCTTGTAATTTAAAGACTTTATTTTGAGAGTACATGAACTATCTATCACAATGCTGTTGTATGTAGTATAGTCAGATATTAAACTGACCAAGTTTAGATTCTGTCAGTGTCCATATTCTGTAATTCCTACATGAACACTGCATTAGTACAGCTGTCGAATGTTTTCCCTTTTGAGTACAACCAAAAAGGACTTTATTTCCATTAAGATAAAGTTTACTTTGGAATATTGTGAATTAACATCCTGTATAAATATTTTGGGAATCAGCCAAAATATAAGGAATATATTGTCACTTTAAAATGATAATGTTATTCGCTTTGATTGTTTACAGTACTTTTTAATACAAGTAAAAAAAATATAATTATTATCTAAAGATATACTAAGTAAACTTTCACTGTGAATTACAATAACATATTTGCATTGTATCATGTAATATTCAAGATGTGCTATACAATCAAAAATCGACCATGACCGCCATGAAAAGTGAGAGTAAAATGTAGGGCATTCACTTTCGCCAATTGCTTAACTTTGAACTTCAATCTTTAATCAAAACAGAACTCTATTTTCTAACAACAAAGTTGCATTTTAACTTCCCGTTATACGCGGATATCTACCAATCAATTGAAAATCAATCTAATCACTAATAACTAAGGTTGAATTTTAAACAATTATTTGTCGTATTATTGCATAACGCGATCCAATTTTCTTACAATCAATAATATGCATATAAATAATTATGTATTTCATACAATGATATAACTCTACACGCCCCACGTTAACTTTTACTTATGTTAAACGTAATAATTATCTTTTCTCAAATACAACTAGATTTAGTATACCTATGATGACTCAAATCAATTTAAATCAATATAATATTTTATGTATTAGCTTTATCAGGAGTTTTGGCAACAGACAGTCGTATACGTATACTAGAAAAACGATTCTCCCCTGTTTAGTTGTATTATCTTACTTCTTACTAATATTATAAATGCGAAAATTTGGATGGATAAGCTAAACAGATCTTCATGAAATTTCGCATAGATGTAGAGGATAGTCTGGAAGAACACATAGGCTACTCATTTTGTTTTTTTTTTATTCAACGCAGACGGAGTCGCGGGTAAAAGCTAGTATATTATAAATGTGAAAGTTTGTTAAAATAACTATGTCGCCGTTTAGGCTGAACGAATCTCGATGAAATTGGCTTAGATGTAGAGGATAGTCTGGAGGAACACATAGGCAACTTTCTTTTGTTTTCATTAATTAGTGTTAAATAAATATGTCCTATAACAATTATTTTGGATAACAAAATTTAAAAGAAAGTAAGTGAAAGCCGACGATATCCTTTTAAATAATTAAGCCGAAGTCACGTAATGGAATCCCCATTGTATTATACAAAACGCATTCGTATTGTTCGAAGTTAAATCATCACATTGCTTCATACTTTCTAATAAATATTAAAATCAAACATTTTGTAACATAAAAAAAAACACAAATCCTTGTTCTTCTAATTAAGTACAATAAATAAAGTAAAATCATTCATTAACAAGGTTATTTCACAAAGAATCTGCAACTCTTGTTGCGCGCTTCACAAAAATGGCGGGAATCTTGACCCAAAGGTAAATGTCAAGGACGCAAATTTGTCTCATTTCCATTTCCGCGC